ATAATTTCATTTTAAGAATCTAAAATATTAATTTTTAAATAATTATTAAAAAAATAAATAAATAAAAAAAATATATAAACATTCATATATAAATAATAATAATATATATATATATATATATATATATATATATATAAATATATATATATATATATGTATATGTATATGTATATGTATATGTATATGTTTATCTATAATTATTTATTTTAATTATTATTTACTATTTTTTTCTATTTATTCATCAAATTATTTTTCTTAATTTTTTTTTTTTTAATTATTTTATTCATCATTTTCTTCTTGTTCAATATTTTAATTGCTAGAATTATTATTTATTTATTATTATTATTATATTTCTTTTATTTATTCATTATTTTACTAATAATTTTAATTATCAGTAATATTTATTTATGTTTAATCTATTGTTTTATTATTTTCTTGTTATTATTATGTTTCTTTTTATGATTCTTTTTATTATGTGTATTCTTTTTAATTTATTATTATATTATTATCATTGTATTCTTGATATTTTTATTAAATACTTTCCTTTGTTTTTTATATTTTTTTTTTTTCAATTTAATTTTCATTAATTTATTTATCTGTTTAATTATCTGCTTCCTTTTTTTTCATTTATATAATTTTTTTATTAATTATTATTTTCTTTTATAATTTTTTTTACAATTTATGTTTTTATTTCAGTTGTCTATTCATGTTTGCAATTTGTACAACCGCATTAATTTCCCATATTTTATTTATAGTAGTTGTTGCTGTTGTATTTATATTTATTTAAATATTTATTAAATAAATAAACGTAAAAATAATTAATAAAAATTATAATATATTATCTTTTTATTTAATAATAACTTTATATAAATTTAAATTAATTATATTATTTAATTTAATATTTATCTTATTATAAACAAAATAACTAACTATAAATTATATTTTTTTTAAATGAACATAATTATAATATGATTCTAAATTAAAAAAAAATATATTTTTTTTAAAAAAATAACTAT